GTAATGAACCTTTAATTAATAAGGTAAGACAGATGTGCCTAACAAAAGCTATCAGAGATACTAGAAAGAAGGTATATTCGATGATAAACAGAATTATCGCAGTGGAGAACAACTTATTTCAACGGGATCCTAATATTTTACGTATTGAAAATGCGAAGCAGGTTAACATCCATAACAGACTGAGATACAACCTAAAGGTTCGTTTTAATCTAAAAATTAAATGGATATTGAAATTTCAAGTATCTAAAAGGTCCAATAAGATAGAAGCTCCGTTTGTTGTGTGGGATAATATACAAATTCCAGACTTTGTTAGCCAGATACTAGAATTGTTTTTATATCTGAACTTAGATAGAAAAAAATTCTGATTATAAAAATTTGGTTAGAAAATTGGCCTATCCAAAAATTGATAAGTATTTTACTAAATATATTATAGTAAAAAAAAGCCATTTTTTCCAAAAATTATTGACAAAATAATTTTTATATGGATATACCATATATAAATAATTACTTTTCAAAATTATTTTAAGGGTATGCAAGAATTAATGTGTAATTTTAAAAATTCAGGTTTTTGATATTAATAAAATAAATAATTATTGCCTTATTTATTAGTTATATTAATGAAAATAGCTATTTAGCTATTTTAATAAATAATATTAAACAATGTTTAGTAAATAAAGAATATCGAGTCTAAAAATATTCAACACAACAACGAATCAAGTTTGAATTTAACGGAATGGATTTATGGTTAAGGCAACACATGGACGATCTTCCAACGAAGTAGTTCCCGGAGGACTTTCATTGGAAAACTGTCTCCTATTTACATGGAAGACACGTGAAGAAAATCCGGAAAACACCACGTGGCAGCTGATTAGTCACGTGTGAACCCTGGACCAACTCCATTGTTCACAAGCTGAATGCGCAAGTGATAGATTTTTTCCACTTTTATTTACAAAAAGCATTTTTTAAATGTTTCAAAATATTAAAAGATATAAGAGATTCATGCCGTACCGTTTCACCAGCTTCTTTTTCTTCCTCTTCACTTTCTCTAGAAGATTTTTTCTCTGTTGATATTTGTAAATTCATATTTCTATACCGAAATAAATATCTACGTTATACATAAATTCGCGCACGTAAAGGTTTTTCGTTTAAAAATTTGTTTCGCATAACTCCTAAAATTATGAATTACTTAAATTGAACCGAATTCTTATTTATTTTCACTTTTGAAAAATATTCTTGACCTCCCTGACATTGAAAAAAATGACTGAAAAGGTTCTCCAATTAAAAATTCCAAAACCGAACAAAATGCATAGATATTGAAAATATGAAAATGTTTACGTCATTCCTTACTGTAAATAATAATAATAAATAAATTCATGAAAATTTATAATTACAAGTGAAAATATACATTCTATAGTAATAATAATATTAATAAATACTGTATACTGTATACGAAGAGACTTTTTATCTAATAGTTTGCCAACTCCATTTATTCAATTTCAATTTGTTCTGAACCTCCGACATATGACGCTAAGAACAGTAGTTCAGTACACAAACCACAGACAAACAAAACCATCAAAAAAGTATGTGAGAGTCTACAGCTATAATTATATTAAATCATGTCCATCATAGATTCGGCCAGATACACAATAAGTCGGCCAGTTTTTCTAACGATAATTTAATTGGAACGTGTAACATAATAATAAATAATTTTAAAAATGTTCAATAATTGATAAGTCAGTAAAATTAATTTAATTAGAATTATTCACTTATTTTCCAGAGAAGATATTACTTACCTAATACTGGATATCAATCAATTTTTATCTCAATGCTACTTCACAATGTCCCGATTTCTGGTTTTGAACTTGTGGCGACTCTAATCTAGTCCATCTAATAACGTGTATAGTTTTTTGAGCCACTTTTGATCCTCTCCGTCCCTCCTGTATATAAATAATGATGTACCTTCGGCAAATATCCTTTGAAAATACGTTTACGGACCTCCCTGACATTGAAAAAAATGACTGAAAAGGTTCTGCAAATATTTTTAAACTAATCATTTATTACATGATTTAGGAAGTAGCTTTATAATAACAAATTTGATTATGCCATTAATCAACTGAAAAAACTCCCTGTAGACAATGGATCCGTTCTTTTATTTTTCCGTGTACACTCCGCGCGCACGAATCCATTTAAAAATTCCTGCAGAACGCGTTCCGCATCTGGTGCATGGTTGAAGGGGTTATCCTCTTTGTGCCCACAGGAGAAAAAAAGCAAAAACAAAAAACTATACAATAGCCAGATGTAACCATTTACTGATCCATTCTCAATAATTGCAAAAATCATCGATGGTTTTTAAAGACATGGCACAGCACAACACAAGGCCACAGAACACGATGCATACTAGATGCGTATGTGAGATTTGTGAAGACTTGGCGAGCAAGGATTGGTCAGAAGCTGTTTTACTATTCGCCATGTGAACTGTGAGATTCGGTCGAATCAGTGGCGTGTTCTAGTACTTAGACTACATCTCTCCCTTAATAGTCCGACAGGTATGGGACCAAAGGTGTGTTGGATTACCAAAAGTGTCCGGATTACCGAAAATAATTACATATTTTGCATTGTTTTGCTAGCAGTAGCCTAGAATATTCCCTACTCCAACTGTTCGAACAGAACTGCTCACAGAAAACACACGAAATGCGTGTCATCGTGTAAGAATTGGATGGGGAGATTCATGTCGTGGCATTCTTCTGTGCAAGCAGACATGTAACGGGGACGGGTACCTTGACGGGAGGTGCGTCAGACTACTGAGCATGTCGGATTAAAAAAACGTCGGACTATCAAGGGAGAGCTTGTGGCGCCCGTCGGCAACGTGCCGATTCGGACGATAGAGGGCGCAAGAAAAGAAAAAAAGCGAACTTTGAACTGGTCACCCACTTTCCGACCAACAGCTACTGGAAACGGACGTTAGGACAAGCGGTCAGTGCAAACAACTGTAACCTTCGATCGATGTCAAGCTGTATATACATTGATTGTACATTACTGTATATATATTCGCAAATAAAGAAAGAGATATTAAATTCCGACTAACGTATTTTCAACAATAACGAGCGATTCGCATAGGGGATCGAACCCCAAAAGCTGTATAATATTTTCAGATTGTGAGGAAAGTTGGTGCGTGCATACACAATACCCGTTGACTACAATTCTTATTTGACTTTTATTTAAAGTATAAATCGGAATATTTATAGTAGAAATCAACAAATAGGGACATATCGGGAAAATTTTTCCAATAGGACAAAAAAATGTTTCAAATCGGGAAATGTCTTTTTTTTTTAAATTAAATATCAAACTCAGTTTCTTTTAAAAACACTTAATACTAGTTTTAATTTTGAATTTATAATGATCGAACGTTCCGTTTAATACAATTTTGAAATACGTTCGAATGCCAGTTCACCTGAAGATGGCCTATTCCATTATGTTGAAAACGTTTGTGTTTAAATAAAGTATTCTCAGCGATAGAAGGTGTTAAATGTTTTATTAAGTGTCTTTTTTTTAATCTTTTCCCTCTTTGCAAAAATGGTCTTAGTAGAGGACCATTTTTGCAAGTCCATTATGGGTTTAGCCAGACTCACAATTGGGCGACTGGATGGTGAGGGATTGGACCCGACATATCTGGGAAGGTTCACCCCCGAGAAATTGACGGTGCTTTTTTATCCGTCTGAATTCGGTTCCGGATCTCCCAGTGCGGTAGCGCTTTAATTTAAGTGCTCAGCCGTCCGAAAAACGAGTTTTTAATTTAATTAATTAATATTACNTGATAAAGTTTTATTACTTATTATTACAATCTAGACGTGTTAATCCTTAAATATACTTGTATATTGGGCCAGAAGTATATATAATATATACTTGTGGCCCAAAACTCCTTGACTTCTTCCAATGCGGCCCAGAGAAACAAAAAGGTTGGACACCCCTGACATAAATAGTACAGCTAATTCTCAATAATTCAAAATTTAAACAATAAAGAAGTTTTTAACATGTCAAGTAAGTATGTGTTTTCAAGTATACATAATTAAATGTTTGATTTTACTTCAAATTCATTTTGATGAGGTTTTAACATAACCATTTTGAAAATGCAAGAAATATACAAATATCAGACAGGAAACAAATTCACCAGAACCTTAGTTTTCAAGTCATTAAAACATGTTCTTAAAACTGTTTCAGCTTATAGAGAGACAAAATGCACTAAGTTTATGTGAGATTTTGCTGGACAAAAATAAAATTTGACTTAGTGTAAGAGTCATGTTACCAAAGTTCAAGCTACTGAGAGTCAACTGCATATATACAGGGTGGTTCCAAAATATGGAGACAAACTTTCAGGTGGTGATTCATGCCAAGACAACAAATAAAAATGCTCCTATAAACATATTTCCAGAAATGCATAGTTAATGCACAATAAAAGTGACATTCACACAGCTATTCTAGAACAATATATGAATGCTGCCTGTAATGCTGTTTGGATACAAGCCAGAGCATTTGAAAGAGTGAGTCAGTCCATGATACGATGTGTGCATGCTTACATAGACCCATATGACCCCCTTCACAAAAATGTTTTGATACTAGAAACTTCACAATCGATAAAGCTCACAGAATTTTAAGTAAAAATCAAATTTTTCATTTCTTTGTTAGTTGTTTTAATTGAGTTTTGCTCACTGTTAAGTTTTATAAAAAAAAAAAAAATTATCATACCATTTTACCAAATGATTGATGGTTTTTATAAGGAAAGCTCTTTAAATATATATGGCATAAAATTCCCCCTTTTTTGTCTCCCGAAAAGAAAATCTATATCTCTAAGAAAATCTAAAAGAAAAAACTCAAAAGTTTATTTTTTGAGTTTTTTCTCTAAAATAATGTATAAAACGCCATTTAAATGTTAAGTTACAAATCAAATATAATTTAAAATACAATGATTTATATTATTTATTAAAATTACATTAAAAATATACCTGTCTTCTTGTAGTTTATCATTATTATCCAAAAACATTATATGCCCTTCTGTCTTCTGATGACATAAAGCAGGTTTCATATTTTTGTCTATACTTTGTACTTCATCGAGAGGCTTTCCAGTTGAAATTTTCTAGTATTAAAAATAAAGACAAATATTTATGTATATAATTACTTTAATCATTAAAAATATAGATATAGTATTTATAATTAAATCAATGGGAATTTGACAAGTCTTTAAAAATTTAGGTATTATGAAAGTAAAGATGACATTATTTTGAACAGATGGCTAACAGAAAATTTACATTTCTACTAGCTAGAATAGTGAATCTACACTTGATTTTAGTCATATATACTCAGTTATTGGTTTTTGTATTATATTACAATCTGGTTGGGATTGTTTAAATTAATTAAGTATTGATTTATTTGATTAAGTATTGATTTATGTTCTCTTTCTGATCATTGTCTACTTATGATTCAGTTCAATATGAATGTACTGAAGAATAGTATGCTAAATGAAGGTTTAAATTTATAATATGATTTCCCAGACTGCTAGTGGTGCAGTGCACGACTCAACTGTAAAGTATTCATAATGGTGTGCCACATTCTAATACAGTGGCCATCAATTCCTAAACAGAACTGAAATTTGTCAGTAAAGACACCTCTGGAACTTACCTGACAATGGTACAGAAAGAGACTGGGTTCTGTAATGAGACTTCTACCTGTATCTGGATGGTAAACAAAGACACCATTGCATCTGTTTGTCTTGTGTTATGATCATCTCTTCTGATGGTCAAGCTGGAATGTCCAAAGCCTACCACCATGTATATATGCCCTCAAGTATCTAGTACCCCAACACTAGGTCAAAATGGCCATCCTGCTTCTGTAAGCCTGGTTATATGACCTTTCTCAAACTCCATCAGCTTTGAACACCAGATGTTCAAAGACTTCTAAACAGCCTTACATTAAAAATTCTGTACATAGTAAACCTCTAACCATTTTTATACAATATAGAATATTGGAATAACATTTTAAGATAGTTTGATAGCATTACCTGGTGTACATTCTGATAACAACAACTGTACTCATTTACATAACTGTTTGAATCACAGCTGTGTGTTGACTTTTGCAGTACTCAAATAATTCTATCTGGATGCATAACTTTTGTCAATGAGTTTATATAAATACAATTTTTGCATTATTAAAAACTTATAAACATCATTTTCTACATACAGGGTGGTTATAATTAAAGTTGCACTACTCAGATTTGTCTAGAGCCCATTCTCGTGGACGTATTTTGATGAAACTTGGTATATATGTTATATGGACCATGGGAAAAAGGAAAATGCAATGCTGTAAGGCGTTTTGAACATGTAATTGATGCAAATGGATTGCACATTGAACAAATGTGAATAAAAACCTTTTGCCTGTTTCCATTTTGTGTTTCTTGTTCTTCGTGTGCCATTTTTTCACCTAGTGGTAAAAATTTGAACTAAATATTTTTTTGCATTTTCCTTTTTCCCATGGTCCATATAACATATATACCAAGTTTCATCAAAATATGTCCACAAGAACAGGCTCTAGACAGGTCTGAGTAGCACAACTGTAATTATACACCCTCTACATTTACATATCTCCTTAAATTAAAATGTAATATTAATATTTCAATTCATTATGAACTATTTATTTTGCATAAAATAAAAAGATCTTGTATAACAATATAATACCTACAGATTTATTTCTTGCGATATTATCTTTTAACATTAGATGTTTTAAAACATCCAAGCGTTGTAAACATTCTTCTAGACAACTGCCCAAACATAATGATTCAATTTTAGAAATTGATTTAATCTGAAAATGTAAAAATAATATTTTAATTACATTATGCTAAATATCTTCCATATAAAGAAAGTATAAAACTACAAAAACATCACATAATAGACATGTTTGAAAAGACCCAAAAACAAACTTTGTCAGAGCACCATCTTACAGAGGCAGAAGACATCTATGACCTCAATCCAAACAGATAAAGTAGTTCTGCCAACATCATCTTAAGAACTTTTATGTAGTGTAATAATTCAGTAAACTATACATAGTCTACAATCTATTGTGCTGAATAAACATTGTTTTGATAGAGATAGCACACATTTTGTGTTCAATAACATAACTTATATCACTGATGTATTTCCTTTCCTACAGACCACAGTGAAGACAGCACACTTACAATCAGGTTTCTTATACTTGGAGCTTTTATGAATATTATGTATACACTAGCTGCAAGGACCCACTTCGCTGGGCAAAAAGTAATGATAGTGAAGATTAAGATAATTACATTATAGCTAATCTTACCCATTTTCACAAAATGCAAGTAATGATAGTGAAGATTAAGATAATTACATTATAGCTAATCTTACCCATTTTCACAAAATGCAAGAATTAGGACCCCCGTTTCCAGACTAATTAGAGAATTTTTACGTTTAGTCAAACAAACAAATTTTAACGTTTCTGTAACATTTTCAATCGTTCTATAATCAAACCAATTCGAATTTTATGTTCGAATTTAATTCGAACAAATTCTAAAAAATCGAACAAAACATTCGAAATAGAAAGCCACTTTCAACCACTTTCAGCCTCATATCTCCCGCACCCTTATAACTATCGAGACGCAACCACCCCTATGTACGAATGGAGACTTGGGGCTACCACCACATACAAACACCATTTAAGTGCGATGTGTAGTTTTGGCAAAAAAGTGAAATATAGGGACATACATGTCCATTTTTTTTTTTATATATATATATATATATAGATTATATGCATTGAAAATAATTATAATAAGCACACAAAACACTAAAAGTTGATTTTGTGCAATAACATGTTCATTAACATTTTTACAGGTTTTCTCAATCTTAACACAGTTTAGCCATGCACATTGTATCATCATCAAACTGAGTATATTAATTTGTTTGTGCAAACCCTGTAATCTTGCTGTTGTATGATTCCAAAGAAATTAATATAATCTTTTGATGAATAGTCTTTTTTCTTTATAAGCAAAAATTTATATCTTTCAATAATCTGCCAAAACTCAGATAATGAAAATAATTAAGTTTTAATTACTTACTAAAATCTTGTTAAAAAGATTACATATAATACATAAGGCATAAATTAAAACTAGTTTATGCTCTATATCATTAAGCAAAATTTTTGTCATTTTTAGTAAGTGTTTTAGTTTATCAGTTGTATTTATTATTTAAGTAAACCTGAATTCAACTGTACAAAAATCCAACTAAACTGGGGTGACCAATGTCTTCGATTTCCAAGGACTGTCCCCAGTTTTGCCTGTTTTTAATATTTTATTGCAGAATAAATCTTTGAATAGAGCAATTTTTTAACATGCCAATATAATGTTATCAATTTATAGATCAATACATAAATAAAATTAAAAAATCATTCAAAGTTCAATCAGTTTTAGACCCCATTTTCACTGATTCTGAAATTTGTCCTCCTGTTGGATTGTAAAAGTTAGCCTAACAAAACAGCCTTCTTCAGGCATTTAAATCACAGAATCTTTTGCATTGGAACAAAAGCAAAATGTTTTGATTTAAATGCCTAATGAAGACTGTTTAATTAGATGAAAGTGCTAATCAATTTTAATTAAATTAAAGTATAGTTTTGTTTTAATATTTTTCTGTTTTCTAGTAATTATAAATTCATTTAATAGTTGAAGGAAAAAATACCACTTACAATTTAGGATTACTTTCATGAAACTTAATACAAATATTTATTTACTAAATAATTAATAGTTACAGTATTTGTAATTTTCAAAAAAAGTAGTAATAAAAATAATATATATATATAACA